TAATTCCATATTCACAACAAGGAAATTTTCACGTTTTAAAAACTTCAGAGTATAACAAGCAAACTTGTGAGGTCGCATTTAAAACTACATCTTTTATGAATACAAACATTAATACATTAGGACAACTGCAAATGCCCAAAACCGTTACTGTACCATAAATGAAAAATATATTAATAATTAAAGTTATTAAAATCATTTTTCATTAAAAAATATCAAATTGTTATGCGAATGCAAAGGTTTTCACCAAAATCTTCAAATGGTTTAGTTCGTTTCGGATCGAGCTGAAATCAACTTTAGCGGACATCATGTAAAAAAGTTGTTTGAAACTGTTATCTACTTGCACCGAAGATAAATCATGTTCGATCAGAAACTTCAGGATTCTGTTTAAGAAAATCATTGTAAGATTTGGCAATAAATATCAAACAACTCTCAAATTTAAATGCCAATATAAGCAAATTTTAACATGTACCACATTTCTGCGGAATCAGTCATGTCATTTTATGTCACTTTTCAATTCACCCGTATAAATTCAGCAACATTTGAATCTTCCGTCTATGCAGTCCTGTATTTATAGTTTTTTATTGAGACGAATGCCAGCATGAATAAAATACTTCACATTGGTCACAGTGTACACCCTGGCTCCTAATACTACTTTTCGTGTTCGTGGTTACCAAAGGCATAGAATATTAACCAAGCACAAACGTACTGACAATACTAAGAAACGCTCAAAATTAGACGGATTTACCTTCTCCAATCTTTTCAAGCTTCTCATATTTTTGCATCTGCTTTGTACAAAGTTCAATGAGCAATTTTGGCCAATAAAAAATTACAAAAGAATGCCTTGTACAGCTCTGTCTAATTTAATGTCTAATTATACAGTACAATCTTTTAAAAATGAAGGATCGTCATGTTAACCTTTTTCGTTTTCTCTTGTTTTTGAGAAATTAAAACGTATGATAATGAGTTGTAGAAAAGTTAATTGTGGTAACTATGTTAATTCAGTGAACAAAATCATCAAGTAATTCTGCCTGCCAATACCGCTTAAAAAATAAGCTAACTTTATGTGTAAATAAAATAAAATTGATGCAGAAGATACTAAATCTGCCGACAATACTGTCATTACTCTTATACTGGACAATCGTTCGAATGACAATGGATTCATGAACATGCTAAAAATTAAAATTTATTGTTACATTCACAAATCGTAGGTATTAATCGACGGTTGCACCGCAAACTATGGCGCTTAAAATTTGCGACACTTCGTAATACAACTCTGAAATGCAGCGGATTACTGCTGATAAAATGTTGGAATTTCCGCCATGCAGGTAAGTCTGCATGCAATGAGTGACTTATTTCAGGTGCAGTTGCATCATCTGTAACAACTTGCACCATGAACCTTGCTTTGCAATGCTGATTTCGGCCGCACTGCAACTAGCCTAGACTGTAATGCACTTTAAACGTAGTGTCTAAGCTACGATACCTTCTAAGCCGTATAGTTTCCAGTTTCTTTGCTATATTTTGACTTTCATTTGTCTACATCGCAAGGAGTTGAGAGTGACTTAGACTGGAATTT